GTACTTTAATTTATCCTTTAAAAAGACCGATCATGGATAACTCTCAATACTCGACGATTATGCCCATACGGACCGCACCTCCGAGGACAGCAAACTCGTATTCTTCAACTTCTTTGGCATTACAAATGAATTCTTCTACAGCCGCTGAAACTTTCCAAGCAATTTACCCTTCGCAACATCAATCAATTTATTATGTGTCTTCCATAGGAACAAAGTAGTGTGTTGATTCGGCTAACATACTTTCTTGCGAGATCTTGAATTCGGATAAGCAATGCGGAAGATGGAAGGATAATTTTTCATTTTAGCAAATAATTAGTTAATTAAAAATGATATTTATTGATTCAACCTTCAAAAATTTTATTAATGAACTTTTTCTTTTTATCATTTTAATCTTTCGATCCGATATGTAAATAAGTGCCTTGCCTTTTTATTAAAATATTTATTTATGTATTCTTATTTTCATGTTTTGATTCATAGGATTTAATGACACTAAGTAAAAAGGTTATTATTAAATTGCATGTTCTCGAGTGAATAGTTTAACAAATATCAGCAAAAGATCAAAGATATGATGTCAATGTCATCTAAAGACGACACCTTCAAAAGCTAAATATTTCAAATTAGAAGTGTATATATATCATATCGGTTTAATTTTTTATTGGGAGGGGTAATCTCATTGGAATGAATAGTAGGCCCCCTTGTTGATGAACAAAAATGGGGAAAGATTCCGATTATATTGATTAATGTATGTGGCGCATTTTTGCAAATAAATGCGGTCAAGTCAAATTTTACAACACAAACCTCATGAGACGTTTCAAGTTAAATTGGAGGGCGAGCAAAAATACACACGTATTTATAATTTTTTTTAAAAGTTCAAGTGATGTTTATTAAGGTAAAATTTCGAAAAGAATTAATTTTTCGTAGAAAATTGTCTGTGACGCATGTGCCAATCATTTGTCGATCATCTCTTAAAACGTAATTAAATATTTCATTTGACTTTCACGTGGTTAATTCCTATATGTGCAAATCACGTGGTTTTGTTTAAATGGCTTTACCAAATAAGGTTAATTATTTAATTAAAGAAAAAAACATTACACGTTTTTTAAGGGACATTGTATTGGTTATATTGTGTTTTTTTTTTTTAAATAATGACAAATTATTTCCAATAAAAAGATGGTGATCACCCGATTTGATCATTTCTTTTTTTCTTCAACAAACACAATTATGATTATGGTAGTGTCAATCAAAACTTTACTTTTCTTAGCTGCGTTTTTCATCTTCATATATTATGGAATCGAATTTCTTACAAGATTTGTTGAAAGAAAATTTAAAATTCATATTGGATCGATAGGTTTCTTATCAATTTCCAACATATCTTATGATGGGAAGATTTTTGATCCACACCAAACTCAACATTCTTTTAAAATTTCCGTAAATAAAATTCGTTTAGAAATTAGACCACCAGATGTGAATCGTAAAACATGGCTTACGATCACGATTGAAGGTGCCTATTTTAATTTTTCTTCAATAAAAATATTCTTACAATCCATAGAACAAAAGGAGTTAAAGCCCAGTTTAATTGCTATGGTACCTCAAGAAGCTTGGTGGTTATCCGTCTTGGTTGGTAAATATGTTAAGGAATCGATTACATTGCAATATTTCCTGTTGGGAGTTGTAAATTACGTTGATATAAATGTTACTAGTGTCGATGTTTTAATTGAAGATTTGGGACAATTTCAAATTGAAGGATGTACTTTGGGAATGAATTTTAAAAGATCCTGCCTTCAACATGGTAGTGATGGTAGTAACAATTTACAAGAACAATATCTAATTATTTCTCTCTCATTTTCATCATTATCAATTCGAAATATCGAAACTATCAAGAACCCTTCGAATTCACCTCCCGATATTTTTTCAATTCATATGACCGAAATTGTTTTATCTTGTTCCCTTTCTCCCGCCTGTACATCGCTTATATCTATTGACATTGACGTTAAATTAAAAAAAATCATTATTGGTGTGGATTCCATACTTGGTTTAATCAAGGTTATTCAATCAAAGATTTCACCAATTAACAAAGTCCCGAGTACACTTGATTTATCACAATCATCAGTAGATTTCATGATGGATAATTTATTGAATTCTTCATTGGACAAAATATTAAGTGCGAATTTAATGGTGGATCTAATTGACATTAAATATGAATTTTCAGGATTGGAAGATCCTTTAACCGCTAGATCATCATTTGAAGGACTTTTTGTTTCACTGAAACAAAATAATATCCATTCACTTCAAAATCAACGGAGATCAACCCTTTTCACTGAAGAAATTCCCATCCCCTTAAAATCGATAGAATTTTCAGTTGATCATATTCATGGGGATCTTGTAGATCATCAACATAATATTTCTCGAATTCAAGTGAATAAAGTTGAAAGTAATATATTGATTATGTTAATATTTAAACCGGTCGTCTCAACTTCGGATGATGATTCAATTTCATTATCATTAAATGGGACTTTCAATATTTTATCTCCCGAAATATCCGTGAATTGTAAACAACTTGATACTATTATACGCATCATAGTTGGTCTTGGAGGAAAAAGTTCATCACCCAAAATTACGGAATCAAGTCAGCAGATGAAGAATAATTATAATACACCAAACATACCAAAATTAGTCATCAGTTGTTCCATCGTTGATCCACTCGTTAAGATTACGAGAATTCCATATTCAAATAAACCTGATGATTTTTCACAAATCTCTTTTGGATTTCAGGAGTTATTATTTGATATCAGTGGTGATTATACAGCATTTCAATCCCAACGTGTCTTAATAACAAGAAGATATAAAATTTACCTTGACGAGATCAAAAACAAGTTCAAATTGCCAAATGTTTTAAGTATATTTAAGAAGAAAGAAAAAAAACAAGTGATATTAGAAAATGAGTCCGCATCGGTTTATAATTTAGTCGTAAACGTTAAGGCTCGTAATATGAAATTATATATTTTCGATTATAATTTAAATTTGAATCATTCTTTAAAATTTCATTTAGCATTTTCCGTTTTGGGTGTTGTGATTTCAATTAATGATAAGGATGATTCTAAAGCTTTCACTATATCTTTAATATCAGAAAAATTTCAAGTGGACATTAGTTGGACGATTGATCGACCTCTTATCTGTCAAATTCTGGGGCATTACAAACGAATTCGTTTACAACTGTCAAAAATTTCTAAACAATTTGCCCTTCGCGAAGCAATTTTGCGTTTGGTAGATCAATTTATTGAATTCATAAAGTGTCTTCTAATCAATGGCTTATAATCATTTTTAATACTATTTTGCAAGAACCTTTTTCCAAATTGTAAACGAATTTTAGTCAAGAAATAAATAGAATTGAATTGCAAATCTCAAGTTATACGAAATGAATTTGCAAAGCGTTTCGCTTTTTATTATTATTATTATTATTATTATTTCGTTAAATTCATATGGAATTATTATGCGATATGTCGATATAAATCATGTTACTAGCACACCCTAATTGTTTAAATTAAATGATAATCAACGATTAAGTATAACGTAATGAAACCTGTATTTTTGTTAAGCTCCTCGACCAACTCGATAATTGATTCCGCAGGACTTGGGTCCATTTCGTATGGATCATTTTTTCGAGTTAACTTTTCTTCAGTAAGACGAAGGAAAGCTCTACCATTAAGTTTTTTATCGCGGATTTTTTTTAACATCACTTTCATTGAAATCAGAAACTTTCATATGGCACTCGAGAAATTTTTTAACATGGTCTGGAGACCACGTTTGAACTTTGCTAGGAAGTTTATTGACTTGAGTTTCCGTACTTTGATGATCATTTGATTTTCGCTTCGCAACTATCATTTGTATTTAAAAAATATAAATTAATGATAAAAAATTTTTTTTCAATCGAAGGTAATTCCTCAATTTCTATAAGAAAATACATATACATGTAAATCAGCTACTTCTCATTAAATATAAAAGGAATATAGGCTTCCAATAATGTTGATATTAGCTTACCCGACGGAACGTTATCAACATATCTAATTAATTTTGTAACGACTTTTATATAGTCATGTGTTATCATCAGAAGAAGGGTAAAACTGCTGCTTCCACCAGCTTTATTTTTTTACCCCAGGATGAAGTTTTCCATGAACTCCATCCACTACCACTTCACTAGTTTCACTGGGTTGACTGATAATCGACCTTTTTGCTCGTTAAAATTGTGTGGCTTCTTCTAATGTCCGAAAATGTATATGGCCCCAACTATAAAAAGTCGTTAATATGAACTACGTTGATATCACGAAATTGTCCTCTATCCAAGTCTTAATCAAACTGTCTTCCACGTCGGAAAGTTGGTCACCGTCCGCCCAGAAAAAAAATATTGAATATTTCTCTGGTGTATAACAAATGTCGAATTCTATTTCACCTATATATAAAATTAAAAGGGATTTCAAAATCATGCAGCGAGAGATGAAAGGTAACCCTACTATCAACGAGTGGTGGGAATAGGGATGCTAATGGTCACGGTCGGTCAAAGGCTTCTGACCGACCGGTTGACCGATTGAACACCTTGTTTTAAATAGTAAAAGAACTTTATTAACAAAATCAACATTTTTATTTTAATTATCAATAAATTAAAATTTTGAATTTTGAAAAAAAAAATTAAAGTCGGCGATAATGCCATGCTAAAATTTTTTCAAAATTATATATAATATTTGACTAAATTAAACTTCTATTAAGCCAAAACTGCTTTATTATTATTAACCGGTAGGTCAACCGGTCAGTTAAAATCGGTCAGTTAAATCGGTCGGTCGGTCAAAGGCCTTTGACCATCTATAGGTGGGAAGGGGTAAAAGCCGACCATCAGCAAGGGATGGAAGGTTAACCCTACCACCAGCGCAAAATCATAATGAGAGTCTATTTTTGTTTATCTCATTATAATTAGTAATCATAAATCTTTTTTCATACTCATCTTCTAAAAGTAACTGTAACTATAATACTGATACAATCAATTAATACAGGGAACTTAAGAAGAAAATAAAACTTCAAGTGATTTATTTTTGTGGTTTTCAGGACGATCTGATTGTTTCATACAAGTTTTTTCAAAGATAGGCTGCTGATCATTAATTTAATAAGCAAACAATTAATACATAATTTGCCGATCGTGTACGTGACAAAATAACTACCCGAGTCATGAAGAATATGAAAAAGATGCATTATCATAGGATGATAACCAATTACAACTTTTTTAGTATTGAAAAGATGTCCTGTATAATGAATGGATTTTTAATTCTATAAATCTTTTTTCTTTTCACAAATATGTTCATATTTTACATGTGTTATCATTGGTAGAAATTTATAGTTCTATCAAAATTCAAAAAAAGCAAAGGGTAAAAAAACAGAAACAATTCAAAAAGGAATTCCACTACGGGTAAATATTTTTTTTCGATTTTTTGGCAATTCATTTTTTTTTGTAATACAAAAAATGCAAATTGAAAATCATCCTATAAAAGAAATACTAGGGATCGATTTGATATTCGTGTATTTTTCCACTTTTCTTTTCCTTGTACATATAATTATTTAAATTATTATGTTAGAAATTTATAATACTGTCAAAACTCTCCTTATCTTGACTGGATTTTTCGTCATTTTATACTATGGAATCGGATTTTTTAGACGCTTTCTTGAAAGGAAATATAAAATTCATATTGGATCAATAGGTTTTTTATCAATTGCCAACCTATCTTACAGTGGGAAGATTTCTGGTCCACAACAAACTCAACATTCTTTTAAAATTTCTGTAAATAAAGTTCATTTACAAATTAGAAGACCAAATGCAAGTCGTAAAACATGGCTTACCCTTATTATTGACGGTGCTTATTTTAACTTTTCTTCAATAAAAATATTTTTACAAACTACACAAAGAAAAAGAGTGTGTGCAAAGCATCATAGTTTAATCGCTACCGTACCTCAAAAAGCTTGGTGGTCTTCCGTTTGGGTTGTTAAATATATTATGGGGAAAATTTCTTCAATTCCATTACAATTCTTCTTGTCAGGAATTGCAAATTTTTTTGATATAGATGTTACTAATGTCAAGCTATTAGTTGAAGATTTAGGACTATTCCAAATTGATGAGTGTACTTTGGGAATGGATTTGCTTGCTGACGTTGGTCGAAATCATCATCACGTATTCTCTAAAAAAATTCTCAACTTCTCCTTCTCGTTTTCATCATTATCAATTCGTGATATTGAATCTGTTAATAAACCAAATAATAGTAGTAGTATAATTCAAAACCTTCCGAATATACTTCCTGCTATCTCTTTACTTCATCCAACCTTTATTACTTTATCTTTACATCTTTCTCCCGCCTGTACTTCACTAATATCTTCGGATTTTGATGTTTACTTAAATCGAATAAATATTGGTGTTGATTCCATACTTCGTTTGGTTAAAATTATTCAATCAAAACTTCCAAACAAAGTAATAAGGGGACCAGTTGAATCCTTAAATACCCAACCTTCGTCACCATCAAATAGATCACGAAGTTATATGATGGCTAATTTATTGGATTCTTCATTAGCTAGAAAAATGAGACTTTCTCGTAGAAAGAAGACTCCTGTTGAATTCCTTGGAAGTGTGAAGTTTAAGGTTGATCTAATTGATATTAAATATGAGTTTTCAGGATTGGATCATAGCAAATCTCATGAATTTCCTTTATTTGCCCAATTGTCATTTCAAGGACTCTCTATTTCACTCAAACAAGATGATATCCATTCAATTAATAATCATCGGGGATCAATACTTTTTCTTGAAGAAATTCCTAAACCTATAAAATTGAAAATGGGCTTTTCTATAGATGATATTTATGGTGATCTTGTAGATAAAAATCATATTGCTTCTCGAATGATTCAAGTGGATAAGGTCGAGAGCAAAATGTTAATATCTAAACCTCTCGTTACAGTTGCTGATTATGATCCAAATTCTTTATCATTTGACGGGACATTCGAGGTTCGTTCTCCCGAAATATCCGTGAATTTTAAACACCTTGATGTTATTATAAACGTCATCGATTCACTAAAACATCTTGATCTTGGAGGAAAGCATTCATCAACTCAACGATCACCCAAGCTTAAAGAACCAAGCCAGACGATGACTGGTATACCAAAATTAGTCGCTACTTGTTCTATAGTTAATCCACTTGTTAAAATTACAAGAATTCCATCTTCTACGCGAACTGGTGAATTTTCACAGATTTCCTTTGGATTTCAGGATATATCGTTCGATGTCAATGGTGACTATACGGAATTGAATGATTTAACACAAGTTCAACATCAACGTGTATTGTCAAGAAGATATACTCGAAGTTGGACTCAACCTAATTTCTCCTTAGTATATAATTTAGTTGCAAGTTTAAAAACTCATAAGATGAAATTATATACTTTGGAATATGATTTATTTTTTAATAATTCTTTAGAATTTAATTTAGCGACTTCTGCGTTGGGAACTACGATTTCATTCAATAATAAGGAAGATGATACCGCTTTCACTACATCTTTAGAAACAGAAACGATTCAAGTGGACGTCAGTTGGATAGTTGATCGGCTTGAAGTTAGCTTATGTGACAAATCGACATTTGATTTGTTAAAACAACTCATCGATGTCACAACAAGGCTTAAACCTGAAAAACGTGAGGTTTCTGAACCGTTAATAATTGAAAAATCACCAGATCAAAGCGAAAAAGCTTTATTAATTTATCTAGAAGTACTTCTTTGTTATGTCACTTTTACCGCAATAAGTGTGAAAATTGCCGGGGTAGACTCATTTGTTAATTCATCAACATCAAGGGGAATAGATTTTAGGTTACAGGATATTGTATTTGATTATAGGGGGGCAAGAGCAACGATTGACCCTATTGCACGTTATAAAGGGTTTGGATTATCCATAGAAGATAGTGATGAAGTTCAACATGACACTGGAGGTATTCTTCGAGGATTTGTTAGAGGAATAAAGTTGATACCGATTTTAGCCATTTGGGACAAAGAATTGTTTAAGAATACAATTCCATTGTTGAACATACCAGATATAGAACTTCAGAGTACCCTATCATTTAAATACCTACAAAATGATTATGAATTAGTTATCAACCCCATGGTAAAAGTTCAAGAAGTTCATGTGAAATATTCATTACTCTATCATTATTGTTGCTTAGTCGGTGTTATTAATATCGTCCGATTATTACCAAAGTTCTCTGATAATGAGAAGAATGTGAAGAGATCCGTACCTACACCTTCCGATTCGCAGCGTGAAATATCGGCAAAAATTGATTTGAATGTCACGGTGAATCATATTAATGTGTCGATTGACCTTCCGGAAGATACCAAGGTTTTTGCGCGAGTGGATGGGATAAGTTATAAATTCGTTCCTCCTTCGGATCATGGAGTGAGAATTAAAAAATTACGTGTTTTTGGCACAAGTCTAGTGGAAGAAGGGCTATGGGATGAAATAGGCAGAGTCGAGAATACAAAAATTCTTCTTTTGGACGATGATACAAAATATGAAAAGGCTAAAAATAGTTCGAATGAAAAGGAATTGGACAAGATGATACGTATTCAATCCGATTTGATCCATGTCCGTATACCTCATAAATTCGTCCTTGCTGATGTTATTGAAAATATTGCTAATACGGCCAAAGCTGTGAAACATTTAACCGAACGTATCTTTGCTGGTGAGGAATCCTGTTTACCCTTAGGACCAGAGGAAGAGGGGGCAAAGCTTTTACCCACAATACAACTTAAAGTCGGATTGGTAACTTTCCGTTTAGAAGATGATCCATTCGAGGCAAAATTATCTCTGATATGGAAAGTTGGTTGTCTAGAACAAAAGGCTAGGTTAGGAAGAGATGCTGCTTTTGAGGCAAAAGCCGAAGCAATTAGAGAAGATGCTGCACAGTCAAAAAACAATGGAGAACAATCACAAAAAGAAAATGGCGGCGGGTTGCTACTCGGACAAGAAGAAAAAACGCGCGCCGGCAATTTTCGTCATCAACCATCTCCACGCGCGAATTTGAGCATTGATGCAGCGTGTGAAGCATTAAAAGAATATAACTCAAGAAGCTGGATTAAATGTGTAAAGGCCGCCGACCCATCACGTGTAAAATCGCAACAAATGGGCAAGGTTTCTCAAGTGGAATCCCTACCCATTCGAACGACCGAACCTTCAAAGTTTCCCTCTTTGTTTAATGTTACTATAATAAAGTTTGCTTTGACACTTTCAACGCCTTCCTTTCCAATGGAAGATTTGCCACAATATATGTACGAGATAGGAAAGGGCTTACCATTGGATACAAAATTTGCACTATTGGTTCCTATGCATCTGAGTGCTAAACTAAAAGAAGCGTGGGTTGAAATTCGTGATTATCCACTTCCCTTAGCTCATATTCCTTCTACAGATAATTATCATGGAAAGAATCCATATTCTTTCTTTCTAAAAGGAGATTTGGTGGTTGGGGAAGAACTAAAGGGTATGGAAGCGATAAGGAAGGCCTCAGTTGTTATTGTGACACCGCAAGGTGATGATAGTGCATATACAATCAAAGTTCCAAGAACTGTCTCGCCCGTGAAAATATATTCGGATCTCCATGTAAAGATTAATTCCTCACGACCAACGGTTTTTTCATGGGGTGTTTCTATGCAGCCAGCGGTTCAGCATTTTGCAAAGGTATTCGAAAGTTTTACTAAGCCTAATCCTGACCCTTCAGAGGCTATTGGATTTTGGGATAAAATGAGAATCATGATGCATGTTAAAATATCAATGGAATTCAAAGGCACTGGAGACGTGCAATTTTACTCAAAAGGTTCTCGTGATCCATATTTAGTGACTGGATATGGGGTTGGTTTCGTCTTATGTTGGAGCAAAAACGTCGAAATTCGATTAGGTTATGCGAATGATCAAAATGAAGTACTTCAAGTCGATAGTCAAGAATTCACGTGTGCTATTCCTAATTTAGCTTCTGTCGTCTCTGATGGTAGCTTATCCGCAAATAATACAGGATTGGAAGCCAAACTTCAAAACGAGAGTATTAAAGATTCGGAGACCAGTACAATTCGAACTCAGAATTCATCAAATACGGTAGAATCTGAAGCGTTGTTTGATAACTATTTGAAGCGAGTAATGAAACTTTGTGGAGGTGTGAGATACGGTATGGGAGTTCATTTCCAAAGACTCTGCAATAAGTCATGTCCAGTTTGTAAAGGACAACGCAAATGTCGGTTAATAGATTTCATACCACATTATGAAATTATTACAAGAATACCTGAATATGCAATTGCGCCGAAAGGGCAGGTAATGACTTTTTAATTTACATCATTGTTATTAATTGTTATTAATTTATTTATTTATTTATCTTTAACGCTCGATCAATTTTTATTTAGGTATATGATTCCTTTAAGGGTTTCCGATCGGACTTTGTTCATCTTTCAGTCAGCGTTTCATGTCCCATAAATTTGAAAAATTCTGATGATTATCATCACGATAAAAAGGATTTACAAAATTCTATACAATTAAGTCCGAAATCGCTTCAACATGTATTATCATGGGCATTTCTTTTTGAACCAGCAATGACTATTCCTATTCGACAAGGAGCTCTATTTCCTTCTCTAGAACCTCCCTCTCCAAAACTTGGAAAATATCTTGGAACTATAAAAATTAAAATCTGTGTAGGGCCATTGTTCCTTAGTTATTTTTACAGGGAAGATGCTTTTGAAGATCCCTTAGACGGAAGAACACACATGGTAGGCATTAAGGGCAAGATTGAAAATTTCAAATTTGATATGCACCTCCGCAGCAAAGAGAAAATTATTGAGGTGGAAGGGCAGGAAGTTAAAGCTAGAGATATCATCCTACATGAAGCTGAGGTGGATTTGAAAAATTTGGATTTAAGAGGAATTGCTGTCCGATATATTGGAGAAAATATATTTTCGAACTTTTCAGATGAACATGAAAAGGATGAGAGAGATATGTTATTGGGGAAAGATGAAGATTTTATGGCATTACATGTTGAAGATGAAGAGTGGGTTGATGTGAATGATTACATTGAATTGGATTGGATGCTACCGGACGTTAAAACTGGTGTCAGGGTATTACCTTTGATGAGAAGCCCGCAAATGATGTATTTTAAAAGTCCGAATGAAAATGATACATATGAAGATAAGAAAACGGACCAAGGGACTCATGTATGTGTGATGGGGCAGGGTCGAGGTAAGCCTTCAATAAAATCTTCCTCCCATTTTATTGAAAAGATCATGATATTAATGCGTTTATTTTATTAGATACTGTTAAAGTTCAAATTGATTTCCTAACCGAAAGGTTAAATCGATTAAATCAGGAGATAAGTCAGCAGACTAAGATACTAAGCAACATTGAAGAGAGGATTACCGCAGATTCCAAAAGTCCAAACCTACATCTACAAAATATGGTAGCTTTTTATTATTATATTTTATATATGAGTTAAGATTTCATTATTCATTTCAAATAATTTTTTTTTTTTTATTGGTTAGTCACAATCTATACAAAACACCACTGCCACGTTATCACAAAAAAGAAATTTCATTCAAGAATATTTAAATGATTTAGAAGAACAACTAAATAAACCGGATCCAAAATATGTAGATGTGAAAAGTGATGATGAACAGGTTGATAATGAGAAAAAGCCTAGTTTTAATTCTCCTTTATGGGCTGATACTCATGGACATTTTGGTCATCGATTTATTATCCACAATGCTGAAGGGTTATGGAATAATTCATTACGTAACTTGATGTATAAATTTTTGAATCTCGTGGAACAACATCAAGGATTAACATATTATATGTCAATGAGTGCAGTCAAGTTTATAAGAGATTTGCAAAAGAAGATTCAGCAACAGAAAGAAAAAGAAGCCTACGAACATTCTCTAAGGAAAGAAAGTGATTCAATGTCTTCCGCTGGGTTAAACAATTATGATTTTGATGCACAAATGGCGGCTGAAATGTTGAGGAAGTTGGTTGGAGAGCAAAGTACAAGCTTTATTGTGCCTAATGAAATTCTTGTAGAAGAGGGTACAGGTGATCAAGGACAATCAAAAGATCTACATGATGAAATTCCTGAAGGCTATTCGTTACGAAATGATTTTATAGTTCAATTTATTAATCCTCAAATTAATTTACAATGTGAAAAAAATCCAGATTCCAGTATTATAATGTGTATAGAAAGAGCTCAACTCAAAACCTTTTCAATCGTAGAAGATTGGTCTAAAGGTGACCTGATTAATGAAGTTGTGAAAACAAGAATGTTCTTTGGTTTAGACAATGCTCAACTTTTTACAAGCACCAAGGAAGATTTCAAGAACGATTATTATTCAAAGATTTTAACGGCAAACAATTATGGTGCCAAGGGGCAAGACAATTGGCCCGTTTGGGTTCCTGTGGAGGTGTTAATTAGCAACACAAAAAACAATGCTTTACCATTTGAGCAACTGGTTAAACGAACTTCTGCCACAGCACAATATGACAAATTTAACAATTTACGTATAAAAGGAAGTGACATCAAAAATGATGATCAGAATAATGAAAGTAACAATGACATCAACGAACAGGAGTCAAATATATTAGAAGTTGACAGTTCTAAGAAAGTAGAATTTGATAAAAGGATGGACTCCTTTCATATTAATGTTCCAAATCTTAAAATCTCAGCAACTTCCGATCAATATTGTATATTTTTTGATGTTGTTACAGATTTATTTATGTATCGTGAACCAGCGCAAAAGGAACGTTCCGAAAGGTTACAGGCCATTTTACTTGCAGCGGATTTGGATGATCTTGAGGGTGCGGCCGAAAGAGTATCATCTTTACAAGAAAAAATTCGACAATTGGATGATTTAAGGCTTCAATATGAGTTACATTCAATAGAATTAGATGAAGAAGGCATGAAGGAACTTCGGGCAGTGGAGATAGAATTAATAAATTCACAAGAAGAATTATACCTTTTAATGGAAGCTATTACCGCTTCACAAGAGAAGAAACGTGATGCGGATTGTAAAGTTGCATTTAAACTCATAGCGACAGCAGATAAAGTAGCTTGGACTATGCAAGAGAATAACAGAAAACCAATTTGTGAGTGGAAATTAGCAAATGCGCATTTTGAATGGATGACAAAAGAAGAGAATAGTAGTACAAACACTTTAGAGATAGATCATGTCGTTGTAATGAACAAGCTTCCATCTCCTACATTTAAAGAATTAATATCACCATATATAATAGATAATCGTCCCGTGGATTTTCGTCGTAATAAGATGATTCGGGTTCATTGGGAAGAATTAGAACCTGTTGCCGGTATTGCAATGGTTGAACATTTTGAAATAAATATGTTTCCTCTTAAATTCCAGATGCAATATGATATTGGAAAACTTATCATGATGTACATATTTCCGGAGAAAAGGAGTGAATACGTAATAAAACAAAATAATGTCAAGGCAAATGAATTCGCACAAGTTGGTAATACTCCTATAGAACAAAAGAGAGGATCTATAGGTTCTGAACAAATAGTAAAGGTATCAAAGAAAATAACAGATTTATCTAATGATAGTTCTAGTACCGAAACTCAAGAAACATCTAGCGAATCTGATGTGGTTTCTTTCTCTGACGACGGAGCTTTAATTACGAATAATCCCACAACTGTTGGTAAAAAGCAATTATCAAAGACAACGACAGGAGATCATACGGAATATTCATCGGAGTTGGAGTTGATGAAAACAAGAGCTTCCCAAAACAGAACATTTATATATATAAAGGTTCCTGGTGTAACACATAATTTTAGTTATCAAGTAAGTTGTTTTTACTTAAGATTGCTTCGTAAATTTAGCAATAAAGTACACAATCAAATAAATTTATTGATTTTATAGGGCGTAAAAGAAAAGAATTTGGAAGATCTTTATGATTTTGTTTTCAAAATGCCAACTCTGGAGTATCAAAACAAAACATGGTCGTGGTTAGACTTTTTGGAGCAATTTAAAAAAGGTAAATGAAATCATGCTTTTTAAACCATATGCATCATAATTAAGTTATTAACATTGACATAATATATTATTAGACATTATTCGTACCATTCTGGCACATACTGGTTCATTGATTAATCAAAAATTCATTACGCAGAAACGTGTTCGACCAATCACAGCAGAACCCACTATTTCCAATGAATCCAAAGAAATTGCCGTTCCTTCATTAGCAGCATTGGCAACAGTTGTGGCTGCAGCTAACGTTACTTCGATGATGGATGGTGAAAATGTTGAAAATGAGCATGATGACGAAGGATCAGACAAAGTTTCAATTCTTAGTTACGAAAGTCAAGAAAGTCAAAAGAAAACGAGAGGTATAAAGTAAGTACAATCTAATTTTAAACTGTAATAATAGAATCTTTTTCAACTTTTCTTGATATATCATATTTACTTTATTTAATAGGTCAATGAAACACGAAAAGAGGGATTCTTTAACAAGACATATCCCTCTTACGAATTATTATATACATAAAGAAATTGGTGGAACGCCACATATTTCTAGCGCAAAACCTACTCCGACTTCTGCCGTAAACGAAGATATTGAGGGAAAAGGTAGATTATTATTGGGTAAATTGTATGATGAAACTAGATCAAATCAATCAAATCAAATGCATTAAGTATGGGATGTACAGTAGATAGTGTTTATGATATTTTTAAATTTAAAAAAGATAATAGATATTTATTTTTATTTATTTCAGTATTTGATTATTATTTTATTGACAATCAATGCACACGTATCAAGTATTAATCCGAAAGTAAAAAAAAAAAAGATCTAACCAATCAGAAACGATAAACCGAATATCATTTAAAAAGTAATTAAATATACACAGTGTATCTCGATCAACGTATATAAATAAAGTGATTGCGTTTGACACGCATTCCACTCTTACAAGTCAAACATGGTGGGCTGCTCACAATATAAGGAAGGAAATATGGGAAGAGAGAATAACCCGCAATTTAATTTTGTTATCGGTATTGCTATAGCAGTATCAACTTCATTTGTCCAATCATTAGGTTTAACAATACAACGCAAATCTCATGTATTAAACGAAAATGTTCACCCAAAGGAACTTAGACGATCTGCATGTAAGCGACCATTGTGGCATTTAGGTTTCGATACTTATATAATTTCAAATATAATTGGAAGTGTATTTTCAATCGGATATCTTCCAATAGTTATTTTGGCTCCCTTAGGGGCCGTGACCTTGGTCTTTAATGCATTATTCGCAAAGTTACTTTTGGGTGATGTGTTTACTAGGCAGACAATAATAGGTGCGTTTGTGTCCTCACTTAAATGTTTGTTAGATCTAAATCGATTCTCCTTCAATTTGAAATAATTGTTATCAATAATGTCCCGATTCAATTATAGGGACATTTTTTATTCTGATCGGAGCGGTAATGATTGCACTTTTCGGTGTTGTCAATGAGCCAAATCATTCATTAGAAGATTTGATTGAACTTTATAAGCGACCGGCGTTTATAACATATTTTTCCATAATTGAGTTCATGATTATGATTTTTTTAATCACAAATAAATTTGGTGAATATGCATTGAATCAAATGATTCGAAAGGAACGTGATATTACGTTTGGGTGGTCGGTGAAAAACTTTCAAAAGATTCTCGGGATTTCATATGGATGTGTTGGGGGTATGATATCCGGTCAAAGTTTATTATTTGCCAAGAGTGGTGTAGAATTATTACTTTTATCTATTTTTAATTGCGAAAATCAATTTAATCAACCATTTAGTTGGTTTATCGTAATAGCATTGATCGTTACCGCTTTATTACAGGTATTTGTTTCATTTCTTTTGATTTTCTCGTTTTGTTTTTTTTTCCTTCACGCACTATTTGTAATATTTTTTCCGATTTGAAATTTTCAGCTTTATTACCTTAATAAGGGACTGAGGTTATGTGACACGGTTATTTTAGTTCCTCTTTCATTTTGCACATATAATGTTTCCACGATATTTAACGGACTTGTATATTATAATCAATGGAATCGTTTACATTGGTGGCAAATATTTCTTGTCATCTTGGGTATATGTATCCTGATATGTGGTGTGCTTGTATTATCATGGCGAAGAAGTACGGCGCCAGAAGATGAATTATTAGTGGTGAAAGATGACAGTATGTTATTAGAACGTGATATTGAAGGATTAACCGAACTTTATGAAGAAGAAGAATTTAATAGATACGCAGAGAGCATGGATATGAATAATTCTGAATCATATCATTACTATTCTTTGGGAGAAAATTCATCCACCGCAGGGATGTTAACATTTGAACAGAGTGACGATGAGAATGATGAAAAATCATCTTTGCTGGGTAAAAGATAGATAGAATAGACATAGATTGGTTCATTTGGAATATAACTACGGTATATAATTTTACATACGTGTATTATTAATAATAAGGGAAGACAAAATAATTTGTTAAAGCTCTAATTTATTTCATTAATATATAAATATATATGTACAAATATTAATAAAATTTTCAGATATTGCGCAGTAATTATTAGATTTTCGAACACGACTTCACTATGCATTTAATTCATTTAATTATAAACGAAAATCATTTTTCATTCTAAATCGGTGAAAGGTATTTTTGATATGTTTCATAGTCATTTTGGTCATTTAAGTATGAAATCAAGCGGATCAGTTAAATAAGCCGAAACACTTGATAACTAAGCTAAAATTCTACGAATCTTTCGAGAATAACCTTCTTTTAAAATATTGGATATATGCACGTTGCTTTTAAATCACGTGATATGTTTGTACGATTTCAGGGGGTTTTTTTTTTTTGCTCGTATATTTGGTATTCCGAATTACCTCCGAGGTTTTCCAACATAACCAACTTTTTTGAACCAAGAAGAAATACCTTCTTTAAATTTCTTAACGTAAGTAAGGCAAATCAAATGTGATAAAAGGCAAAGATAAAGGTATTTCAAGAGAAGAAGATAGAACGTTCTGTGTTGTGTAAAGAATATAAGCTCTTAGTTGTGTAAAGAACCATTGTTACCCGAGAATAATTTTACGTAGTAATGTACCTTTGTATATTTGCCGTTTATTGTTAATTTTATTTTAGTCTCTCTTCTCTCGAATATAAACAATACATGGGTTCCCCAATTGAAAATCCGTGGATTCAAAGCTCAAGGCCAAACCAACCCAATGTAATCACATTGTTCCTTGAGCCAATTAACGATACTTTCCAACCAAAGCGATTAACTTTGGTTGAAGGTGGTAGCATTAAAATTGGTCGTATGACCAACAAAGGAACGACACCAACAGAGTCAAATGGCTATTTCGACAGCAAGGTATTATCCAGGAACCATGCTGAAGTCAATTATCATAATAATCAAGTTTTCATTAAAGACCTGAAATCCAGTAACGGCACATTCATAAATGGCAAGAGGTTAAGTGCCGAGGGTAAGGAGAGTAACCCTATCGAGCTCAGACATGGTGACGATTTGGAATTTGGAGTTGACATCATTAACGAGCAAGACAAGAAATTGTTATTCCGTAAAGTTGCTGCAAAGGTTTGCCTCTCACAACCCGGAGGTAACATTTATGATCCTGTCATTACAGGAGTGGAGCATCACAAGATTACGAATGGACATGTATGTGATTTCAAATTTATTTATTCTATATAAATACATATATATATATATATATTTATTTAACAACAACATTGATCTTACCTTCAGACGAACAATAAGCGACGTGGAGTTAATTCTTTGTTTGCAATGTTGGAGGTAATACTTCTAAAAGCATTTTTATTTATTTGATTTTATATATTGTGTTAACCAAGTGTATTTATTTTCTCAGGCTGAATTGGAAAATGCACGCTCTGAGTCGCAATATCTCGCAGAAATCGGTAGCATGCTTAATGATGCAAATAATACAGTAGATGCAAGAAGCAAACGGGTAAATCAAAGAATTTTTATTATCTAATCATTTACTTAAATAAAAAATTAACGATTCAAAAAAAAAAAAAAAAATCGTTATAGACACCTTCCGACAAGGTAATAGATTTTCGATTCTATGAAGAATCTCGCGCCATGCTTGAGGAAGCACGAATTAAACTTAGGGAAACAGAAGTGGAGTTAAATAAAGCGATATTTGCTAAAATGGATTATAAAGAAAAATTTATGGTTTCCGAAAAAAACTTTATTGAATTAAAACAAAGATACATTGTTTCTGAGAATAGGGTTACTGATCTGGAACAAAGATACACGTCATCCGAAAAGAAAATCGGAGAGTTGGAACAAACGTGCACGGCTTCCGAACAAAAATGTAAAGAGTCAAATCAGAAAGTGATTGAGCTTGAGGATAAGTGCAGAGTGTCTGAATCGAAGATTCACATTCTTGAGGACGCCTTACAAAGCACAGTTAACGCTCAATCAAAATCTTGTAAATTTGATGATTTAGAGGAACGACTTACAAAGGCTACAAAGGAACTATCAGACACCCAGTTTACTCTTGACAAGACTCGTGATCAACTCAATAAGTCCGAAAAAGAGCTTCATGCTTCGCAGAAGAAATATAACGATGCTAAGAAAACTATTAAGGATCTTCGTTCCGGTGAAGATTCATTCGAACACCGAAATGAAGAGAAACTTTCACTCTTATCTCGCATACAATCTTTCGAAGAAGCATCCAAGAAAAGTGATTCCGAATTTAGCATTCTTCGGGAACAACTAAAGAAAGCTGAATCTCTCAACAAGATTTTAAAAGAGGAAGTAGAAAATTTACAAGAACAATTCGAGATGAGAGTGGAAGAAGAAATATCCCGACGATTAAGCTCTTCTCAAGGAGGATTGTGGCGCCGCCACAAGAAGCAGGAGTCTGAGCCTGTTAAAGAAGGCGAAATGACCGACGAACGTGCGATCGAAAGTATGATTTTCGATGATAAAAAGTCCAACAAGAAGTCTAAAAAATCCATCTTAATTAAGGTACTTTCAGTTAATTTTATTGGTTTTTGAAATCATTGTTAAATAAAATTTATCGACTTCATTTATGGATAATAGGGATCAATTGGTATCGTAGTTCTTGGAATTGGCACTTGGTGTCTTTCCAAATTTTATTCTTGAATGAACAAAAATAAAAGCACTACTAAACATCATTTCATACATGGATCGAGCTAATAATCAAGTCATGTTACTGCGTAGCATATTTCTTAAACACAATTACATGGTGTGTAAAATATCTTTTTTCTCTTTTCATAAGTATATAAAAAGGAATATGTATTAAATACTTTGTTTATTAGTTACCCCAAGGATTTCGATTAGGTCAGTAAAGAAAATTTTTTTTTCGTTATACTAATTTAATAATAAGTAATGTAAATAGTATTAATATTTCATCTAGCCTTTGGGTTGTAAAATTATCATCATGCAAATCATAATTAGCACATCATATTCATTGAAAACATAATATAATTTTAATTTAACTACAATAAATATTTAATCTTCACTTTCATTATTAAACTTTATATAAATATATAATATATTGTATAACAGAATTATTTTTTATTAATAAAAGTCTGAAATATTCAATATTAATTATTAATTAATCAAAATGTATTATATATATAAATATTTTAAAATAGTATTTTTTTTAATAATAAATACCAAATAATATTAAATCATAAAATATTATTTTAATATAAAATTTTATACTTTTTAATATTATAAAACATTTTTTTTAATTATATAAATATATACTTATCTAGCAAAAATGATCAACCAACAATAATTTTACGATTAAATACCTCATGTTTAATAAGTATATTTCGATAATTTATTAATTTCATATTATTAGATAGGTAAGAACTTACAGTTTAATATTATAATATTATTTCTATTCAATTTTATAATTCATTCATTTTTGCTTAGTAGCTAAAAAAATTCAAAATTTTTTTGTTTTACTGTTGCTAATAGTAAACTCTATCACATTCAATGGATATTAATTATAGATATATACTATCTTATACAGATTTGTAGTCCGAGATTAAGCTTATAGCTTTACTTATATTGAAATATAATGAAATTTAATGAATATTGGAACTTTACTTAGAAGTAATTATTAATATTTTAATTTTATATATAAATCTAATTTATTCAATAAATATTGATTATAAATATAAATTATTTTACAAATATTTATAGCTCATATCATAATCTAGAACTTTACTTATTATATTATTTTATGATTATTATTAAAATTAGAACTTTATATAGACATGACTTTTATATTACTAATTTCGAAATACATATAATGATCATCAATCGATTATGATGATCACATCTCAATTTAGCATTTAATTGTATTACAATAATTTTCGTAAGGTATTTATTCAATAAATCTAAAAATTTAGTATAATATATATTTTGTTATGCTAAACTAATTTACTTAGTTACTAAAATTGGATTAATATTAAAAAATCAAAAGTTTAATTATAAGATAAAAAATTGATAAAAATTATAAATTTTACAAATAAATTTTATAATATAAAATTTAATAAAGTCTAAATTTTATAAGAGTTTTAAGAAAGATACAATTTATTACAATGTACAAGTTTACTTATAGCATTAAAGTCAATTTAATTAATAAAACTTTTTTTTTTCTTATGACGTTAATGTATGTATTATTATTTCAATTTTGAAAAAGTCAGTCATTTTTGCTAAGTGTACAATATTTTATTTATAATTTGAAAAATTTTTAGATATAATATAAGTTCAAGTATCTTTATAATATAAGTTAAAAACTATAAAAAATTAATAAATAAGCTAAAAAATTTAAAAATATTTATATTATATAAGTGATAATCAATAAAAAAAAAAGAAATTTAAATTTTGATAATTTTTTTTAATTAGTCTATTTAGCTGATCAATATTCAATACTTTCTTTAAAAATGGTTTTAATTTAAAATTTAATAAACATATCTATTTCTTACTATTAGTTCACAAATGTTTTGTTAATTTTTTAATAAAAAGTTAGATAATAAAAATGAGAATTTTGAGACATTACATTTATTAAAAATCTTAGAATTGATTTTAAATTTTATGAATAAGAGATTAAATAATATTATATTACTTAAATGTTAATGAAATGTATAATATAAAAAACAATATAAAAAATAATAGAACTAATAAAAAATCTCTATTTTACAAAACATTTTCAAGTATTCATTAGGAAAAACTTTTCTTATTATATACTATATAGCATTAACTATTAATCTAATTAAACAATCTTTTAGTTAAAATAAAAAATTTAGCTTTATTCTTATCTTTAATCATAAATTTTATTATATTATTACTATAGAATTTTTTAACTCAAATTAACTATATTATAACCAGATATTAATCTTAACAATCATGGATCTACAATTGTATAGCGAAGTACAAATATTAATAATGTCAAATATATTTAACATGTCTAACATATTTAATATAGCAAATATGTCTAATATAGTTAATATAGTTAATATAATTAACAAAATTAATATATTAGATATATAAAATATGTAATAGAATAGATATAAATACTACCTTTTTTGTTAATTAGAAGAAAAAAGACTGATAACTGTATAGAACTTTGCTCTTATAAAAGATAGTGCAATGCTACTATTCACTTTGTGTATCTCTGTTTCTTATTTCTCTTTTTTTATTTCTCTCATCTATCATTATTACATTATTTTCTTTTTCTTCAATAAAGTATTTCTCATCTCTTATCTGAAACTCTTCTTAAACTTACTGTGATAACTCTAAACTTGTGATTGAAGTCATTCGCATCTAATAAATTTGATTTAACTTGATAAACAGGTAGAGAATTAATTGAGATTATCATAAACTAACTGAAATTACTATGTAAACTATAAAAGAGTTAACCTTTTGATACTACGTCTAACAGTTGTAATCTGAAAAAATTGCACATTAACAATATCTTTAAGTTTTTACTTGAGATTGTTAACTATAATTATAATGTTAAAATCTATCTAACTCTTAACTTTATCAAATTTATGCATTAAATTTAAAGGATTCAAATAATAAACTCAATTATAATTATTATATAAAAATCACGTTAAATTATATAAACATATAAAAAGGCAGAAAAATATAAGTTTTAGTTATTTTTTTTTATTAATATTAAAATTTATAAGTTAATTTATAATATAAACAAAAAGTCTATCTATTTATATAAAAAATTTTTTATTATGACTAACTAATTAATATTATAAATAAAATATAAGTAATATAAGTAATCTAAAAATAAGAAAATTAATAAATAATAGAACATAAAAATAAATATAAAATTAATATTTCTAAACTTTATTTACTTTATGAAATTATGATTATTATTGGTATTTGAAAAAACAATAGAATTTTGTAAATCTTCTATATTCTTAGAATTTGTAAAATTCTTAATATTTTCAAAATTTAGTATTAAGAAATTATTATACTACATAATTTATATGACTTTATTTTATTAAACAATTATTTTACTAATAATGTATTACAGATTTGTAATATTTTTGATAAAAACTATTATAAATAATAACTGTAATTTACATACTAAGATTTTCTTATTATATATAATTTTTTAATCAAAAATAACTTTATTAAATTAATAAATTATTAATTATAATAATATTCTGCTAAAAAAATTTTATTCTTAGATATATTTTTATTTTCTTTAAAAAATTACAAATAAATTATATTTTGTTATAATAAATAGTTAAATATAAAATTTAAAGATTTGAAACCAATCAAGCCTGATAATCTGATTGATATTTTTGAAAAGAAAAAGATAAATATAATATATCATCAAAATATATTATTATAATATATATTTATCAAATTTAAAAAATAAAAATCAATAAAATTACTCATGCAATATATATTATATTATCACAAACAGATTTTTTTTTTAAAATAATATTAACTCTAATAACTTAATATTTTTTTTAGTTAAAAAAATATTTATAAAAAAGTTAGTCAAAGAAAAATTAAATAAGGTTAATTATTACTTTCTTATAATAAAATCTTATTTTTTATCAATAATTTATTTGTTTTATCTTTAAAATCTTTTCATAAAAATCTAATTAATTGTAATTAAAACTTAAAAGCTTAATAGCTAATATTTCTAATATTATTCTTATATAAAAATTTATATATATATTAATAAAAAAATTTGTTAGAATTTAAAGTTAAATAAAAGCATTTATAGTTTTTATAAAATACATTTTTTAAATTTTTTTCGAAATTAATTTAAGATAATAAATTATGATTCTCATTTAAAAAATTATTTACTTTAATATATTAAAATAATTTAAGACTTCTTATATAATTTTATATAAAATTAAATAATATTTAAATCAAAAATATTCTAAACTTTTTAAATTAATATTATATTCAAATAAAATAAGAATTTATTTTATTATTATTAATATAAATAAAAATTTTAATAACAATAATTAGTTTATCTTTCTTATTTTAAGAATAACTAATAAAATTATATATTATTCTAATACTTTAAAAATGTATTTTAAATTACTTTTATATTAAAACCTAAAAACATTATTTAAAAAATATAGCTAAATCTCTTTAAATATACATATTATATATTTTCTCTTTAAATGCATGCTTTTATTTAATTTTAAATATATAGAGATATATAGAAATATTTTCTTTAATATATTTTCTTTAAATATATATTATTTAAATTTTTATTATAGTTTTAAAAGAATACATTTGATTATATTAAAATTATTAAAAATAATTATAAGTATTATGAAAATAAAAATACTTATTTGATTTTATTTTTTTTTTTTGAACTTTATAATATTAACATATTTTTAAATTACAGTAAAATTTTAACAATTATTTATTATATATTTTTAATTATTAATATTCATTTTTTTTTATTAATTTATTTAACTGCATATTTTTATCTTTATTTTAATTAATTATATTATATTATTTATCATTTAAATCTAAAAAAAGTGTAAAGTGTATTAATAATTTATAAATTTAAAAACAAAAAAAAATATCAAGTAAATTTAGATTTAGTTATCTATTTAGAATATTTAAAT